GCAGGACTGGCCCTGCAGAGCTCCAGCATGCTCCTAGGGCTGCCAGCACCCTGTGCTGCTCCTGTAGGGTCATGGGTGCTGTGCTACCATGGACTGGCATCCAGTATCCTCACCCCATGCACCCATCACTTGGCCACAGGTGGGGAAGGGAGGGCTTGGGGTACCTCTGCACCCCAAAATGCCATCTGCCCTCAACCTGACCTGCCAGTGCTCCACAGCATCTGGGCAGGACATTAGTGTGAGCCCTGGGCTGTGCTGGGACAGAGCCATGGGGTGATGGGTGCTACCAGTGCCGGGGTGACAGGCGCTTATCCCTATTGTTGTCCTGCTCGATGTGAGCTCACATTGTGTTACAGCCTGCACAAGGCACCCTTTCTTGCCCCATCCTGGCCCTCCCGGTTCCCTGCCGTGAGGAACAACTAGGTACTGGGGCTGTCCACCCAGGGGACCCACCTGCGTGGAACCCACAGTGAGCTGCCCCAAGCATGGTGCCCTTGCTGAGTGCTGAGCTGGCAGCAGGACCCCAGCTGTGGCAGAGTGCCTTTTCCAGGGGGACACCCAATGCCCTGACTGCTCTAGTCTCTGCACCCCACTTCCCACTGAGGGGGGCCCCTGCTTCACCCTGGGGGTTCCACAATTCTCTGCCAGCCGTGGGCAGTGGCCACCCAGCAGGACCTGTCTCGCTGGGCACAGGGAGGGGGGGCATGGAAACAGAGGCCCCTTTGTGCTCGGGCGCCTGGACCTGCTTTGTATGAGTTGCAGGCTCTTCCGGGCTCCGGGCAGAGCCATTCATCGGGGGGGGGCCACCACCACTGCCCTCCCCCTTCTTGGCACTGCCTGTGCGTGGCGGGAGCACAGGGGGCTGGCATGGAGGCGGGATGGGAAAGGATCCCGGGGACCACCCAGCCCTGCCTGGTGGCTGTCGCTCCTCCGATGGGGCGAGGGGGGGGGTCCCTGGTTGACACACCCCAGGGCATCTCTCCACAGAATGGCGCTGTGCCCGGGGAGCGGGGCAAGCAGGACAAGACCGTCAAACGTGGCAACTGGGGCAACCAGATTGAGTTCGTGCTGACCAGCGTGGGCTACGCCGTGGGGCTAGGCAACGTCTGGCGCTTCCCGTACCTCTGCTACCGCAATGGGGGAGGTGGGTGTCAGGGAGCCAGGGAAGTGGGGTGGCTCTGGGTAGGTGTGGGGGTGTGCACCCTGGACCTGCATAGTACTTGTTGGGGTGGTGCAGGTCATGGGGAGCACAGCCGTGACTGGTGTCATTGCCCACTCATCCTTTGCTTGCTGCCTGCCAGGTGCCTTCATGTTCCCCTACTTCATCATGCTGGTGTTCTGTGGCATCCCCCTCTTCTTCATGGAGCTCTCCTTTGGGCAGTTTGCCAGCCAGGGATGCCTCGGCGTCTGGAGGGTCAGCCCCATGTTCAAAGGTAAGGAGCTGCCTGTCCCTGTTGGCACACGCCAGCACAGGATACCACTTGTCACAGTGCCCAGCACCTGATATGACCCCACACACCATGGGGTGCACGCACACCTCTGGCACATCACATGGCCCTGTGCAGGCACCTGCAGCTCACGCAGTCTCACACACGCATGCCTTGCACACAAATCACTGTCTGCATTGCACGGGTCCCCTGCGCACATGCCCACCCCAGCCTTGCTGCCCTGCACACACAGCCTGCCTGCCATCCCCTGCACGCATTACGTGCGCCCCTGCACACACAATGCATCTCCTGCTTATACCCCAGCCCTGCACTGGCATCCACTATAGGCATTACACACACATCCCTGCACGTGCCACACGTGTCCCCAGCGCATCACTCTTGGAGAGGCCACTCAGGTCCCCTGAACATGCTGTGGGTGTGTGTGCCATGTCCAGCTGTGGGCATGCTTTTGCAGTTCTCTCCCTGGATCATAGGCAGTGGGTGCTGTGCCCATGTGCTTGCTGTGCCATGGCTGGACCCTGCTCCAGGTGCATATCCTGGCATATCGGTATGCTCCCACGCTGACTGCTCCCCGGTGCATGCCTGCAGGCTGCCTGCCAGGTGACGTGCCCACATGTCACAGCTGAGTGCAAGCAGCCCATGCACACACTCCTGTGTACTCTTCACTGGGGCATGCTCAGCCTTGGGTGCTTGTGTGGCCTCTGTCACATGCCACCAGGTAGCTGCAGCCCTAAAGTCATTGTAGCCAAGACTAACCCCCATCCACTCGTTCTATAGAGCTGCAGACCCCAAGGGTTTGACTGCAGCCACGTGTCCCAGGGGACCCTCAGCACCACCAGGCTTGTTAGGAGGTAGAGGACCCCGTGCACGGTGCTCCTCAGCCCCGTGCCACAGCCAAGCACTAAGCCGCAGAGTGGTTGCAAGGCTGCTGACAGCACCGCATGCTGCCACCCCTCCCATGCCACAACCCCCCGTGCTCCGTGCCGTGCCGCTGCACCATGCCGCTCACCCCTCCCCGGTGCTGTTCCCAGGCGTGGGCTACGGGATGATGGTGGTGTCCACATACATCGGGATCTACTACAACGTGGTGATCTGTATTGCCTTCTACTACTTCTTTGTGTCCATGACGCGTGTGCTGCCCTGGACGTACTGCAGCAACCCCTGGAACACGGGTGACTGCGCAGGGGTGCTGGATGGGAACCTCTCCAGCCATGCCACCCTCAACCTCACCGATATCCTCAATGTCACCCAGAAGCGCACCAGCCCCAGTGAGGAGTACTGGAGGTACCAGGGACTGGGACAGGGGATGAGGGAGCTGGTGATGGTGGTACCCCACTGAGCTGCTGCGCCCTCCCTGTACAGGAGGTATGTGCTGAAGCTGTCGGATGACATCGGAAACCTGGGCGAGGTGCGGCTGCCCCTCCTGGGCTGCCTTGGCGTCTCCTGGGTTGTCGTCTTCCTCTGCCTCATCAAGGGCGTCAAGTCCTCGGGGAAGGTACCCACGTGTTTCCTCTTTGGGCCCTGTGCCTTGGGTGTGGACTTGCCACCCGTGTAGGTGGCTCTGTTAAGGCATAGCCCCTCTTTCCTATTGGAAATGCACCTCCCATTGTGCATATGGCCCCACCCCTTCTGGACACAGCCCCTCCTCTTTCAGCAGGGTCCCAGCCCTGTGTGCGTGCTCCTCCCACACCGGGAAAGCCCACACCCCCTGTGATATGGCCCCACCCCTTCTGGGCACAGCCCCTCTCATGTGGCTGTGGCCCCACCTCCCTGAGCACAGCCCTTCCCCTGGGCCGTATCCTCTCTTCCCGGTCTATTGCTCCACACTCTGGACCATAACCCCTCACCAGTCCATAGCCACACCTCTGCCCTAGGCCTGTGGTCTTGCCCCTGTCCCCATTCCCACCCTACTGAGGTGCCATTCCACAGGTGGTGTACTTCACGGCCACCTTCCCCTACGTGGTGCTCACCATCCTCTTTGTGCGTGGCATCACGCTGGAGGGGGCCCTCACTGGCATCATGTACTACTTGACACCCCAGTGGGACAAGATCCTCAATGCCAAGGTGAGCAGAGTCGAGGGGTTGTGGGTGACCAGGGCAGAGTGGGGCTGAGGGCACAGTGCTGACCATCCACTGCCACAGGTGTGGGGTGACGCAGCCTCGCAGATCTTTTACTCGCTGGGCTGTGCCTGGGGCGGGCTCATCACCATGGCCTCCTACAACAAGTTCCACAACAACTGCTATCGGTGAGTGCACAACCATGGGCCCCCCCAGCTCAACCACTGCCCCTTGCACCTGCTGCTGGCCCTGACCTCTCTCCCCATAGGGACAGCATCATCATCAGCATCACCAACTGTGCCACCAGTGTCTATGCTGGTTTTGTCATCTTTTCCATCCTGGGCTTCATGGCCAACCACCTGGGCGTGGATGTCTCCAAAGTGGCCGATCATGGACCTGGCCTGGCCTTTGTTGCCTACCCTGAGGCACTCACCTTGCTCCCCATCTCACCACTGTGGTCCATCCTCTTCTTCTTCATGCTTATCCTCCTGGGGCTGGGTACACAGGTAGGTCATGGTGGGGCAGGCATATTCAGATAGGGCAGCTTGGTGGGGCCAAAATGGTGACATGCTGCCCCCTCCATCCCATGCACAGTTTTGCCTGTTGGAGACGCTGGTCACGGCCATTGTGGATGAGGTGGGCAATGAGTGGATCATCCGCAGGAAAACCTTTGTAACACTGGGGGTGGCCGTGGCAGGCTTTCTGCTTGGCATCCCGCTCACCACGCAGGTAGGTGACCATAGGACCATAGTGATGGGGTGCCGTTGGCAGGGCCACCTTCATCAGCCATGTCCACATTGCTGCCACTCTGGTGGTGGTGACAGCCAGGGCCTGGTCTTGCCACACCAACAGTGGTAATGGTATCGAGACTTAAGTGTCTCCATGCTGACCCTGGCATCAGGCATTGCCATGCCAGCTGTGGTGGTGGTCTTTAGGCTGTGTGTTGCTGGCCCAAACAGCATGGCTGTGCCATTGCCCTGCCAACAGTGGCAGTACCACCATGACAGCTGTGCCAATGAGTCTGTCTTACAGGCGGGCATCTACTGGCTCCTGCTGATGGACAACTATGCTGCCAGCTTCTCCCTGGTTGTCATCTCCTGCATCATGTGCGTGGCCATCATGTACATCTATGGTAGGTGAAACTGCCTGTGGCCAATTGGTCAGCAAGGCAGACACAGCCAACCAGTGGGGAAGGGGGTGTGCTAACTTCTAGGCAGTCAGCAATTTGTTGTGTGCTAACTGGTGAGGCCATTGGCCAGTCGGGGGAACCATGACCTGAGGGGGCTCAGAGTCCCACGCAGGCTGATGGCCACTTGTCTCCCTAGGGCACCGCAACTACTTCAAGGACATTGAGATGATGCTGGGCTTTCCTCCTCCACTCTTCTTCCAGATCTGCTGGCGCTTCATCTCCCCTGCCATCATATTTGTGAGCGTTGTGACCATGGGGCACAGGGCCATGGGAGGAGGGGCCAAGGAGCTCACCTGGACATGACACTCTCTGGGGAGGATGGTGTTGGACTGCATGAGAGCAGGGATGGGGCAGAGTAGGGAGGTTGTGGGGGCACAGAGCAGGCTGTCTGCTCCCCACTGGCTGATCCTGCCTATCCCTTCCCAGTTCATCCTGGTCTTCACAGTGATCCAGTACCGGCCCATCTCCTACAACGAGTATGTCTACCCCACCTGGGCCATCAGCATTGGTTTCCTTATGGCACTCTCTTCTGTCATCTGCATCCCCATCTACGCCATCTACAAAGTGTGCTGCTCTGAGGGGGACACACTGCTTGAGGTGGGTGACCAGGGGCTAGACTCCCTTGTCCATGTCCCACCTGGAGCTGTCTGCAAGGTGCTCTCACCCCACTGGAGCTGTCAGCAGTCGCTGTGTGCAGGCAGTAGTATCTGTGGGGCACCACATACCTGGGCACCTGTGGAAGCTGCTGGAATGCTGGTGCAGGCTGGGACAGTGGACCATGGTGTGTGCTAACCTTATCCCCATACTCTTCCTTTCTCTCTAGCGCTTGAAAAATGCTACCAAGGCAAGCAAGGACTGGGGCCCTGCGTTGGCAGAGCATCGCAGTGGGCGCTATGCCCCAACATTCAGCCC